GGTACTCGGTTAGGTGGTGATATCATCTTAACTGCTTTCCATTGTTTACACAGGTGACTCATTAAGTGCCTTTGTTTTGGTAATGCCTAGCTCCTGTTTTTCAGCTCAATTTAGGATACCCAAGGACACTGCCGCTTTCTCAGGCCCTGCTATCTCAAACTTTCTCATGGGCCTAGTGAAAACTGCATCTTATACTTTAGCAGTAGTCTTATACTTTAGCAGCTCATCCATAGCCTTAGCCATGTTCATATGTCCTTGCATTTCTAACCAATCCTCTACAGATGGGTTGTCAGGTGTAGCCCTTTATGACACAGGCACATTTCAGGGCCCTTTGTGATGTGGGACATTTTGGTGCCCAGAGGGCCTTGGGACATCACCAGAGCTCTGCCCTGCCCAAGGCGTATATAAAGGAGCAGGGAATTTAGCCCAATCCCAGGAGATCCACTCTCTCAAGAGGAAGTAGTTCACTGGATTTCTCTCTGCAGGAGACAACGACAGAGATGGACCAGAAGAGGATGGAGATGGAGAAGGGGAAGGGAACCCCAACTCCTAGCCTGCCATGGTGTATTCATGCTTAATTAGATGCTGCTATTTTTTGGTCTGTGTTTGGCCCAGCCACTTGTGAGAGTCTGTTCTTTTCCTGCCAAGTTATGAGAAAACAAGTACTGACAAATGAAAATTTTGTCCTTGAAGGAAGGCATCTTGTATAAACTGAAATTAATTGATACCTCACTATTGGCTGATGGCCCTTCAAGGGCATTTGAAGAAGAAAGTGAAGAGGAGGGTGATGAAGTACACTCCCAGACTCATTTAGGAAAGACCCCCCAAGGTGCAGCACGCAGGCATGGGGAAATGCGGAATACCCACGCATGCGCAGAAGAGATGCCACTTGTATAACGGAGGGAGGGACTGAAGGCCTCTAGCTGGGCGGTGCTGGCCACACCTGCCCAGGTAGACGTCACCAATTAATTGCATAAAAAGCAGAGTGCTGGGAGTGGAACTCAAGCTTCGCATTGAAGGACAACATTGCCTTTTGTGGGAATGCCCGCCATCTTGTGAGCCTGCTGTAGCTTCTGCTACGTGTAATTCTAGGCATTCTGGGGTCAGTAAGATAACTTTGTAAGCAACATCTGAGTTAGTGGGGGAGTCATACTGAGGGCTTATTTTCCTCCTCCTTCCTCTCTTGGGTTTTTTTTTGTTGGCTACTTTTTTGGTAATACTGTTGAGCTTTCAACGGTGTATGGTTTCAGTTCAGCATCCTCCCTCCCTGCTACACCTGGGCCCATAGCTGGGCCTGCAGGTGAGGCCAAGTGGACATCCCATCGGCCAGAGTGATGCAGCTGGATCGATGCAGAAATCAGGATTAACCTCAAGATAGATCAACACTGGAACCAGAACTTTTTCTCTCTCTCTCTCTCTTTTTCTCCCTGCCCTATCCTTTTAGAGTGGGTTTGGGACTTTTCCAGTCATGCCCGTCTGTTCCTGGTCCATCTCGGGAGCAAGGTAAGCGTTGGCAGCATTGATAATCATGGAATCACAGAATATTCTGAGTTGGGAGGGACCCACAAGGATCATCCAAGTCCAACTCCTGGCCCAGCACAAGTCACCCCAACAATCCCACCATTTCCCTGACAGTGTTGTCTAAATGCTCCTTGAGCTCTGGCAGCTTTGGTGCTGTGACCATTGCCCTGGGCAGCCTGTTCAGTGCCCAGCCACCCTTTGGGGGAAGAACCTTTTCCTAATATCCAACCTAAACCTCACCTGACACAGCTCCAGCCATTCCCTCGAGTCCTGTCACTGGGTCACACAGAGCAGAGATTGGTGCCTGAGAGAAGAGAGACTCACCTAGAGATTTCCTGACACCATCTCACTCTTGTCCAGCACTTCTCAAGAACGTGACAGCACACAGGGAAACTTTTAAAAACCTGGATTTATTCTTGCATCACTTCACTTGCATAACCAGCATATAATTTTTGTCCAACATTGCTCAACCTAAACCTGGCAGGTGCCCCTGTGGTGACTGAGGCTGGGAACTGCCCAGTTCCTCACACAGGGGGACACATTTAGGACCTTTGCTTAACTGGACCTTATCTGTAAATATTTCTTTTTTTTAAGAAACAAAGAAGAAACTATACCGTTTATTTAGCAGCAAAAAGTGCACTAAATAGTAACACTACTAGTGGGGAGGGAAATTTCATAGTTTCAGGTATTAACATTGACAAAATAATGCAACTGCCTTTTTTTATTGACACTTGACCTCGACTAAGTAGAAGGTTCCCATCCCTTGATCATCTCAAGGATGAAGGAAATGCAAAAAATCTGTTCCCAGATGTTCCCCTGAGGAATTAAAAACAATTAAGCTCAAAACTTTACCAAAGGATAATTAAAATGCTCCCACTCTGCCACAGACCCTGTTAGATGAGGGAAATATGCTATGGGAACCAGAAAGATGCTCTGGTTTGCCTGTGGGAGAGATGCAGCAGTGCTGACTGGCACACTGAGGTCAGGAAACATTCCCAAGTCCTCCAAGTCCTCCAGTCCTCTACACAACCCCTATACCCCTTTGTCTGTCACTGCTGCAGGAGGATAACAATGCTTCAGGCAAGGAAGGAGAATGAGAGTGACTGTTACAAACTGCTGGCACTCAAATCAGTGGGGTGATGCAGGGATCTAAATTCCTCTTCAGCAACTTGAGGACTGGAATAGGGGAATTCTGCACAAGCTGTTACCAGCACCAAAGCCTTCCTGGAAAACCTGCCACAGATTCTGTGACTGCCCTGTCCATGGAAGTGTTCAAGGTCAAGTTGGATGGGTCTTGGAGCAACCTGGTCTAGTGGAAGGTGTCCCTGCCCCTGCATGGGGCTGGAATGAGATGATATTAAAGGTTCCTTCCAGCCTTCTACAAATCATCCCAGAAGGGCAGGGTAACCCAGGTTCTTGTTAATAAATCCCTTTGGGTGGGCTACAGTGAAACAGTTTTTGTAAATATATATATGTAGGGTTTATTTTAGAACAATTTTATTTCAAAAGTAAACAGGTGTGTTGCCATTTTGGGTGTTATCATCTCTAGTAGTACAATATTAAAGCATGTTAAAGTAGGCAATATTAAAGCATAAAAATAATACTCGAGGAAATGTATAAGGAAAGGAAGACAAAGAAAGGATAAAAGTGGAAAGGTATATATAGTCACCACCTGCTGAATCCAGCAATGAAACTTGGTAGGGGGATTCCAGGGGAAAGTGGGGGCTGCTGGGGATACCGATGTGGCTCCCACATCCAGCACAACATCCCTGTGGGTCCAGTGCTTATCATGATATCCCCTGTCTGTGACAGGATTGTTATAAGTAAACCCAGGAAATTTGCTGCTCAAAGGGGTTAATAAAGTTGCTGTATTTTACTAACCACATTGCTAAGAGTCATGAGTTGACTGATTATGAAATATCTAACCACAAGTTTGTATGCTGTAGAACACAACGCAGAGTGACTCAGTGTTTTTGGAGCTGTTTGATTACAGGCATATTGATATGGACTAAGATGGAGGGGCAAGCCACAAGGAGTCCTATGATTAGATGACATCTCCCGATGGAAAATTCCAGGACCACGGCCTCATAGGAACTAATGACTTTAAAATCATTGGAGGAAGCCCCTCAGCAACGGCAGATGCCCGCGAGTGGAGGAGCCAACCACAGATCTGCCCGCGAAAGAGGAACCAAGCAGGGAGCAGCCCGCGAACCTCCCACCAATGGACTGTGAACATGACTTGGGGGGGTGGTGTCAACAAAGGGTATAATTGTTGCGGTTTCGGTTCCCCATTTTGCGGACTGTGGTGGAGCAAGGGTCTCCCCGGTCGCCCGGCTGGCCGCTTTTGCTTGTTAGCATTAATAAACCTTTGTTTTACCTTGCAACCGAAATTATAGCCTCATTCTATTGATTACAGGATCAAGCTACCCATTCCCAAATTCTCCAGAATTTCAGGGTCACTTTTGCAACCCAATGAACTGTCCCAACCCCCATACCCATTCCCCAGATTCAAAACCCAAAATCTGCATTTTTTTGAGCCCATCCCTTCCCATGGGAAGTTCCGTCAGGGGGTTCTCAGGAAAACACGAAGAAACCACTTCGAGTATGAACAGGAAGATTTTTGGGACAAAACCTTTAATTTGTCTAGCAATAAGAGCCCTTGTAACTCTCTCTTTTTAATGATTTTTTTTTTTTTAAGGAAGAAACCCATTTTATTTGCCTTATTTTAATTTTTAAAAATCCTCATTCCTTAATTACTACCTTTTTTCAGCAAAAAACCTGTTATTATCTCTAGTAAGAAAAAAAAGTTTATTTATTTCTTCTTTAATAAAAAAACTCCACCTTTATTTCAATTTTGATATCCCTCCAAATCTTATTATTCCTTATTTTTCCCCAGAACATCCTTATTCCCTGGGGCTTTTTAATGAAAAACCACTTCGTCTCCTGCTTTTTTAGACATATTTTTTTTAAATCAAAGAGTCTTCATCACCTTTCTGTTGGTTTAGGTGTTTTTTTTCCCAGCAGAAGCCCTAATTTTTCTCCATTATTCCTTGGGTTTCTTGGATTTTTAACTAAGAAGAAAAAAACCCTTAAGTTTTTTTGGGTTAAAAAATAGCATTCTGGGTGGGAAAAGCCCTTAATCCCTGAAATTTCATAGATGATAAAACCCATAAAAATGATTTATGATTCTTTTTAAATAGATATTATTTGTGTATTTTTATATATTTGTATCTGTTATTGTCTATGATTATCTGTAGGACCACGGCCCAACTCAGCAGCAATGACACCTGGTGACACCTGGTAACAGCTGAGGTGAGCCAGGAGAGGCCCTTACTTCCTCAATCCCTTCCCCGCTCCCCTGCTGTGCCATCTCCCTGCTGATGTCATAACACACCTTCCCAGGCCGCTGGTGATGTCACAAAGTGGTGCCCCCCATCACCGGGTGCACTCCACGGCGAGGACTGGGGGCTGCTGGGCCCTGCCCGGAGCCGGGAGGGGGGATCAGGAGGCTGTTTTTAGGGCTGTGGGGGCTGTTCTGGCCCTTGGGGACAAGCAGGGCAGGGGTCATCAGACAGGAATTTGGGGAGCAGGATGGAGGAGTGCTGCACTGTCAGCATCAACAGGAAGCAGAGTTGCTTGTTCCCCACACTCCTGCAGCTCTCCACTGAGGGTGAAGATTTGGGGAGCTCCCTGAGGGCTGGTGGAACGGTTGGACAGGGTTGGGGCTGCCTCGAGGCTCCTGTGAGCACAGCATGTCCCCCATCCAGGGCCAGCTTCCAGTGGGAGCTGGTACTTCTCACAGTTCTGGTTCTGGAGTGAAAAGGGGTCTGGGGTCCTGGGGCATGGGAGGTCCAACAGCTCTCACTGGGTTCTCAGGAGCTGGCTGGGCATCAGCCCTTTAACTAGTCTCCTTTGGGAGACCTTCTGGTTCTTCCCATAGGATCCTCTCGTGACATCAACCTGGGTTTTGGGGTGCCATCTCTTTTTGGGGGTTGGATGATCACAGCCCTGGTCCTGAGCCCTTCCCATATCCCCAGTTCTGCCCCAGCCCTGCTCAGTGAGCAGAGGGAGGTAGAACCTGGGGAACAGCCAGGTTCTTTATGAGGCCCATCTGTCACTTCCCGGATATCACTTCCGAGATGCCGCATGTGGAACCTGATGCCTCTTTCTGGTACTTTCCAGAGGTGGTGGCCATCTGGGATGTCGTGTCTGTGTACATCCTGGGGCAGATGAAGCAGGACAAGGTGGGCTGGCATCTTGGTCCCCTGCAGTCCCCCCTCCCTGAGCATCACGGCACCACCCCAAGAGAACCCCATGTGCCTCAAGCTTCCAGGACTGGAGAAACTCAGGATCATGCTGGGTCTATGCCAAGGATAATCCCCAGGAATCATTCCCTGGGTTTGAATTCCTTGGGATCTTCTTTAGCCAAGGAATTTTGGCAAATAATTTGAAGAGGGGAAGTAAGAAAATGGAGAATGTGGGTTTTTCATTTTTCCCACAATTTTAACATTTCTTATCTCCAAAGTATTCACTCAACTCTTCTGTCTTCTTCCTGGGCAGGGTGTCCTGGTCCCAGGACTAGGGACCTTTGCCGTGGTTCCTGAGCAAGTTGATGGTGCAGAAGAGGTGTATGTAGTCCGAAGACCTGTGTTCCAGTTGGACATGGATGTGTCCTGTCTGCGGGAGCTGATGTTCCCCACAGTGATGATCCCTGGTGAGAAGGGATCCTGCTTCACATTTGGGAGAGGGGTGTGCCCCTGCTCTTTGGGAGGGGGGGGGAATTGCCTCCAAAGTTGGGGGACAAAAACAAATCCCTCTTTCTCTCTGGCATTTTGCAGTGAATTCCATGTGGAAATTTGCTCAGCTGTGGTCATGACAATGCTCATCCTCTTCCTCCTTACAGGTGACATTGAGATCGCACCACTGGATTACTGGTGGCTGTCACAGACCACGTCCCTCCCGCCAGACGTATTGAGGGACTGTGTGGAGGAGACCGTCCTCCTATACTCCTTTCAGCTGAGGGACAGGCAGCGCCTTGCCTTTGCCTTTGGGGACATTGGCGTCCTGTCGTGCCAGGACAATGTCCTGTGCATGCAGTTCAACCGCAGCTGCGTCAAGAAGCTGGAGAACTGGGACACCTGGGTGGCTCTGCTGCTCACTGTGAGCTGGAATCTGGGGACATTGATGTGCTGGAGTGTGTCCAAAGAAGGACAGCAGGGTTGGGGAAGGGGTTGAAGCACAAGTCTCATGAGAAGCAGCTGAGGGAGCTGGGATGGTTCAGCCTGGAGAAAAGGAGGCTTAGCAGGGACTGTCTTGCTCTCTGCATCTACCTGAAAGGAAGGTGTAACCAGGTGCAGGTCAGTCTCTTCTCCCAGATAACAAGTGACTGGACAAATTCCACGAGGATATGTTTAGGTTCGATTTTAGGGAACATTTCTTTGTGTAAAGGATTGTCCAGTTGTGGCACAGGCTGCCCAGGGTGGTGGAATAACCATCCCTGGAGGTATTTAAGACGTGTGGATGTGGCATCTGGGGACATGGTTTAGTGGTGTCCTTGGTTGGACTTGATGGTCTCCAGAGTCTCTTCCAACCTTAATGATTCTGTGATTCCACGATCCTAATATTCATGGATGAGGTTTGGGAAAAGGGGGTTGGAGAAGTGGCTCCTAAGGGAGCAGGAGACAGGTCTGCTTCCTCCATGGGAATCTCCTGATGGCTCCATGTCACTCTGCAGAGGCTGTGTGTGCCGGATGCTGGTCTCAGTGATGGAGCAACCACTGCTGGGGGGATGCAGGCTGCATGGGCTCACTCATTCCCCAGGTGAGTGTGCTTCCTCAGTGGCTTCCCGGTTCCTTTCTATCCTGCAGGGTGTGGGAGTTGCCATTCCTCAAGCCTGTGTCATCATTCGCTTCTGCAGTCGGCCTCAGTGATCCTTGTGGGTCCCTTCCAATTCAGTATGTTGTCATTGTGTGATTCCAGGTTTCAGCTTGCTGTGTCTGAGGCTTTCTCCACCTGGCACACGAAGGTTGCAGAGAAGCACAGGGTCAGAACAGGTATGGGATGGGTCCCTGCTGCTCTACCCCACATGAGGTGATCACAGCCTGGTGATCACTCACCCTCACAGGGCTGTTCCCAAGAGCTGCCTCCTTTCCCAGGGGCACAGGAACATCCTGACAAGTTTTCCCTCCCCATGCTACCAAACCAGAGGCCAGGCATGAGGCAGCAAGAGCCAGGGATGAAGCCATCTGCCAGGTGAGACCCTCGTGGGAAGGGATGGGAGGGATCCTTGCACCCCTGGGTGATAGCCTCCTCAGACACTTGGGTTGTAGTGACTCAGGAAGGAGCACAGGAAACAGCCCTAGCTCTCTGCTTCTCTCCAACACCTGGGAAGCTTTGGCCCCATAGGAAAACAGGATATCTGCCTGCCCTGTGCTCCTGCTGACTCCTCATGTCTCTGCAGTGTGCTCCCCCTGTCCCCAGGCATCTTTCCTGGGATGGGGGAGACAGGTGGGCAGGAGTCAGCTCCTTCGGCTAGGCTCGACACCACACTCCTGGCCTCTGAGAACTGCCAGAGAGCACTCCAGGTATGTGCCAGATGGATCAGACCTGAAGAAAGCTCCTCCAAAGCTGAGCCTAACTGTGCCTGACACCTCCAGGAGGTCTGTCAGCTGTCTGCAGAGTGGGAGCACGGGAATTCCTGTTGGAGAGAGCAGAAGGTGGAATGGGTGGCGTGGGAAGCCTGGGCTGCCAGGGAGGATCAGCAGGTGCCCCAGGTATGGGCAGGGACCCTGTGCGTGAGGGTGCCTTGGCTGCCCATAGAACCCTCCCAGAACAGGGGCACGGGGGGTGGAATTGAGGGTCAGGGGGGACCTCAAGGGGATCAGGGAAGGACCTTTGGGGGGTGGGGGAGGAGTCTCTTGTAGGGGTTGGAGATTCCTGGAGGGCTTAGGGTATCTCAGGGGGCTTTGAGGGTCCCTGGGGTGGTTTGGGGGTAATCCCTGGTGATTGGAGGGATCCTGGGGTTTTGGGGGACTCTTCCCAGGGAGATGGGAGTCCCTGGGGACCTGGATGGAGGAGGGCGGTCTCTGAGAGGGTTTGGTATGCCCTGGGGATTGTGAATATCCTAGGGCTTTGGGGGGATTCTTAGGACTGAAGGAGATGGGATTCCTTGGGGGGAAGTTGGGGGTCACCCAACCACAGAGCAGAGTTTGCCCACTCATTCCTCTGGGAAGCACCATCAGCCATCAGCCATGGTGTGGTGCGGAGTCTCCCGGCTCCCACCTTTCCAGGGATACTAGGAAGTGTCACCTCTCATTTACTGAAAGGGTCCCCTCCTTGGCAGGTATCTGGCCCTGGAGGTCCTTGGGCTCCCCATCCTTCACTTCAGCCCCAGAGAAAGGGGGTCACTGTGACATGGGGGAGGGTTGGAACCCCCCTCCCTGTGGACGAGATGGTGGAGAGATTCCAGCCTGGGACCAGGTGGGTGAATGCAGGACCAGAGGGGTGGATGTGGGACCAGGTGGGCGCAGGCTGGGATGAGGGGAGAGGCAGATGGCAACTCTGGGAGAATGATTTCTTGTTGTTGCAGGCACCTTTCCCCACGAGCCATCCAGGTGCTCCATGCGCTGGAGCCACATCAGACACGGAGGAACATCTTCACGTTTTTGGCTGAGAACAAGCGACGGCGGCAGGAGCAACAGAAGCAGCTCTGCAGGTAACTCCGAAGGGATAGAATTCCCCCCATCCCTCCTCTGAGGCAGCCCTGGGGCACAGAAGTGGGTTTGGAGGCTGCCTTTGGGCTGGAACCCCCTGATGCCCACTTGGACACCCAGCATTGGCTTCCCCTATAGGACAGAAAAGTCCTGGTTGGAGGCAGAGGGACTCTGACAGCTGGCTGCCTGCTTCCCAAACCCTGAGAGCCCTTCTTGGTAGAGTTCTACCCCACGACACCTTGTCCTGACCAGGGGCACCTGTATGGGACACCTGTAGGGGACACCCAAGGTCTCAGCCCAACCTGGCTTTGCCCCAGCTGCACCATAGGACCTTCTCATAGGCTGGGAAATCACCAGGGGCATCTCCCACTCCATGGACACCTTGAGGTGATTCCATCCCTGGTGCCTTAGCCAATCCCACAGGAATTCTGTGCCTTCTCCCTGCCTGTATGACCAGACACCTCTCTCTCCCACCTCAGCTCCAGGTGCTCGTCCAGCGGCCAAGGAGCAAGGGCTGGAGTGGTGGCTGCAGCCGTGGCTGGTAGTGACAGGTCTGGGAGGCTGCTCACCTGCTGAGGTCCACCCATGGATACAAAATAAATACTGCTGGGGATGCTCCCACCTGGACTGAGTGGCCTGGGCCTGGTGATAACGTCGCGACGGAAAGCTCTAGACACCTCAATGTGAGAATCCAGGAACTTCGTTTATTGTAGATTGACAGCAGCTTAATATACACTCTGTAATAGGTTCATGAATATTACAGAAATTAGGCTCATTACTGGTACTCAGTTAGGTGGTGATATCATCTTAACTGCTTTCCATTGTTTACACAGGTGGCTCGTTAAGTGTCTTTGTTTTGGTAATGCCTAGCTCCTGTTTTTCAGCTCAATTTAGAATACCCAAGGATGCTGCCGCTTTCTCACGGCCCTGCTATCTCAGACTTTCTCATGGGCCTAGTGAAACTGCTTATACTTTAGCAGTAGTCTTATACTTTAGCAGCTCATCCATAGCCTTAGCCATGTTCATATGTCCTTGTATTTCTAACCAATCCTCTACAATTCCCCCGTTTTTATTTTGGGCCAACAATGCTTTCTTTGTTGTAGTATTTACACGTCTAGTAATACAAGAAAAGGCAACACGAGCTATTACTAAGATTACAATAACTGTCAATATCCATCGTAGGCCTTCCTTAATGTAACTTAGAGCCCATTCAGATATAGAACCAAAGATAGATTGAAGCCATGAGTCTATAGGACTAGTTGCTACTGTCACTTTCTTTGTATGATCTGTTAACCATTGTAGTTGTTTATGTATGGAGTTACTGTGATCTGAAAGATTAAAACAGCACATATCATCAAAGTCCTTACAGCCATGGCCTTGTGCTAACAACAGAAAATCAATAGCAGCTCGATTTTGTAGGACAGCATGACGTAAACTACCTAAACGTCTTGTGCAAGTTCTGCTATTACTCGGGTGGTGACATTTGATTGTTTTACAGCCCAGCATGCAAGTTTGCGAATGGATGTTAATGCCTGTGCTGTGCCTACACCTGGGACAATAGATCCAAAGACAGCAACTGTTCTACCCCATAGCTCTACTTTGTCATCACAATCTGAGGAAAGTTGGTTTAGGCTCCTCTTTTGTTTGCGTGATGAAGTTAGATTAAAAAGCTGTAAAAAGGATGGGGATAACAGTGTAAGTGACCCTATATAGCAGGGCCCTCCGAAGGCACGTACAGGAATGCCAGGCCAAGCTCTGTCACCACAAATAAGAAATACACCTGGTGGTAAGGCACGTGCAGTGTTGTTAACCCAAATACCTGGTGAGGAAAGTTTGACTTCAGCTCCATATGCCCCAAGGCTCTGGTTGTTAGTATTGTTAGTGCCACAATAGTCTCCTACATTTTTATAATTAAACCCTGGGGTACGTGAAGTGACATTAGTCCATCTAGACAAATCGTGGCTTTGATGTGCACTTAACCCAGAATGAAATGTTCCCAGCATAAAGCAAGTTTGAGTCCCATTATTACTTGTATTACGTACAGACAATGATCCCATTAAGTCTAACTCCTGGGGACTCTGGGGTAAAGAGGTATTGAGAGTTTTTATAAAGCACGCAGATGTATTAGAGATAATTATTTCATTCCCACACGATGATGAAACCCAACCAGCAAATAGTAAGTTTAACTTATATATCGAGTTAAAAGGCATACCAAATAAGCAAGTACGAAAAGGATCTGAGGCAGATGCCAAGGACAAGCAAAAGGATGATTGTCCTGTTTGATTTGCCCAGGTGACCCATATATTTTTCCGAGGGTCAGTGGTGTGAAGAGCCCCAACATTGGCAATCATACTCGTGAAAAGAAGAAAACCTATTACATAGCCGTACAATGAAATAGACAGAAATCCTAACATCTTTGCTATACTAATACACAAAACCAGTAAATCAAGTCCGGGTACGTAAGTCTTGCAGTTCCTTTGTGTACAGTTACTCAATTCAGATGTTGTTCCAGTGTCTCCCTCTTCAGCAGGTGCAGGGGAATCAGGTGTTGAAGAGACTGGAGGTGGTGGTGTAAGGTCAGGTGAGGCTGCAGGCACCGCAGGTGCCTCTCCTCCTCGTTCTCCAGGGCTCTCAATCGCTGGCTTGACCCAATGACTGGGAACCCACAGGGTACCTGTAGAAGTAGACACACAGAAGTAGCCTCGGCCTATAAAGATGACTTCTGCTGGACCTTCCCACATCCCAGTTTTAGGATTCCGATAATGAACCTTCATGGGTGGTCCTTTTGACACCTGCTCTTTCTGATTATGTTTGACGATAGGAGGTACTGAATCATCTCCGAAAATACACAAATGGTTAAGGACAAAAAGAATTTTGCTAACTCTCTCTCGGGCATCCCTGATGTCTTTGTATTTCTCAAGGTAGTTTTTAATTGTTCCATTCATTCGCTCTACTATAGCTTGTCCAGTAGGCGAATGAGCTATGCCCGTAACATGCTTTATGTCCCACTGCTGCAAGAATTGTCCCAGAATCTTGCTAACATAGGCAGGTCCGTTATCTGTTTTTAACGTTTTAGGGACTCCCATGACAGCAAAGCAATCTGTCAGATGACGCTTCACATCTTGGACCTTTTCTCCTGGCTGCAGCGTAGCCCATATGAAGTGACTGTAGGTGTCAATTGACACATGCATGTATTTCAATCGACCAAAAGCAGGAACATGTGTGACATCCATTTGCCACAACTCATTAGCTTTTAGTCCTTTGGGATTAACTCCCACTCCGAGGCCTACTCCTTTATTTTGCTGACTGCAAATAGGGCATGCTTTCGCTATTGCTCTGGCATCTTCAATTGACAGTCCATATGAGTGACTGAGACCTTTTGCATTTTGAGGATATACAGCATGAGCCTCTCGTGCTCTCAGGAAAGGAGATATAGGAGCTTCTGTCGCTGTTGACACTAGACGATCTGCTCTAGCATTTCCTTCTCCCAGCCCTATATTCCATTGATGACTCCTGATATGCAACACAGCATATCTGGCTGACCGGTAAGCAATTGCTTTGTGAAGCTGCTGTAATAGTTGCATGAGTCTGGCATTCTTAACTTCTCTAATGCTGGCATCTTCGATTCGATTAGCTACTCCTGCAACATACATCGAGTCTGTAACCACATTAAGTGTTTGATCTAGCCAGTGAGATAATGCCCACACAACAGCTGCAAGCTCTAATGTTTGTAAAGAGTCCTTTAAGTGAGCGCTTAAGAAGTGTTGATGCCATCGCCCTTCGTGCCTCCAGGTGGCTACGGCACGCTGTGATCTTTTTCCAGCGTCAGTGAATACGGTGACTGCATTCTGAAGTGGTGTTGCAGATCGCTTTGGAACTTGCAGCCACGCCTGGTTAGCCATCCAGGCTAGCGTCGGTGACTGCAAAGGACGGATGTTAATGATGGCATCTGACACGAGTAGTGCTCCTTGCAGCTCAGGAGAATGGACTAAATACCAATCCAAGTCCTCCTGTCTTATCGGCACTTGTATCTCATGTGGCTCTGACCCGGTCGCTTGCACAATCCGGTTTCTGCCTTTTTTAATGAGCTCTGATAAAGTCCGAATCCTTTCCTGGACTGTTCTGCGTGGTTGCAAAGATGTTGTCAGCCATTCTAACACAATTTGTTGCCCTTTAGTTGATGTTGCAAGCCGCTTTTGATTGTCCCCCGTTTTTATTTTTTGCTGCGTGAGGGCTCCCATAAAATGCTTTTCTCCTGCCAAGATAGTAAGATTGACAGGTGCACCCTCTATCCGTTGGTGTGTGACATGATCAGCAATACTGGCCGTAATCTGATGTAAGAGGTTTCGCTGTTCCGGGGTGACAGTTACTGCTGTTGAAGGGTCTGTACCCTTTAATAGCGGTCTGAGGGGTTCTAGCCACTCATTAGGTATTCCCACTACTGGACGCAGCCACTGTAAGTCTCCTAAGAGTCTCTGAGCATCATGCAAGGTGGCAATCTCTATATTGATAGACAATTTCTGAGGTCGAACGACAGAGTCTGTGATTTGCCAGCCTAAATAATGCCAGGGACTGGATTCTTGAATTTTCTCAGTGGCTATGACTAAGCCTTGCTGCTGCAACTGATTAACCAGCTGCTGTTTTTGATCTTTTGTAAACTTAGTCAGTTGGGCGAACAATAAATCGTCTACGTAGTGGTAAATGACTGTCGAGGGCCGTGATTTTCTGATTGGTTGTAATGCAGCGTCCACGTAGAGCTGACAAAGAGTGGGAGAATTCTTCATTCCCTGAGGTAACACAGTCCACTCATAACGTTGCGCTGGTCCTTCCTTGTTTATAGCAGGAATAGTGAATGCAAAACGCTGACGATCTTGCTCATGTAATGCAATAGTGAAGAAGCAGTCCTTAAGATCGATTATTAACAGGAACCAGTTTTGTGGGATCATAGCTGGATTTGGCAGTCCTGGTTGTAATGCCCCCATCGTATGCATCTGG